TTCAAATTCAAATCTGATTGTGTTTATTTTTGTTTTAATCACGTTTTCCGAATTTGTTTCAAAGTCTGTGCAGCTGGGTTCATATAATACAGTGGTTTAATATTGTCTAATCAGTTTTTAGTTATCAGACTATCTCCATCATGAACTTTACTTTTTTGTACTTTGTTAAAAATAAATTACGGTCTCCATCCATGGAAAAAAGTGTTGAGAAACGAAGTCCCACATCATCTGTCTCGAAATTCACAGTAAATGCACATGTGCTTACTCTCAACTAAGTCATGTAAGTGGTGCACAAGGGCATGGGAGTGAACATACATGTACTAAGCCTAGGGCCTTGTAGTACTACTAGTAGCAGTACTAGCATGGAGGAAGGCAATGGTACTACCGTGTGTTTAATTCCTCCATGGTACTACTAGGCAGTAGGCCGAGTATGAGACCTCTTGGCTAGCCGAATTGCAGCAAGAGACCAGGCCTGACCTGTTTAACTTTAAGTTTTACCGGTAGATACTGTACCATAAGATACATTCTATGAAACCATAGAGCAAGCAGTTTAACCTACATATAGGCCTACAATTATCGATTACTGACATGACTGAAATGCAAATTCTCTCACATCCTTGCCTTTGAAAAATCGCAAATTTGGTCAAATTTGTGCGCTTACTTTTTAGCATCACAGGGCGCCACCACTTGTTCAAGGAACCGCAGCATTTGGTCTGGCTCCCAGACTTCTTCCAGATCACTTCTCATGTATCCCCAAGCATCACACTATTTCATGAAAATCAACTGAAGAACTGAAACTGAAGAAGCTTGTCATTTCGCAAAGGGTGTGAAAAGTGGGAACTTCCCGCTGCGATTTTGCTCTGATTTTCCAGCCCAATATATCAAGATGGAGGCCCTTATACCAGTGATAAATAAACTTCAAGATGTCTTCAATACTGTTGGTTCCGATGTTATACAATTGCCGCAGATCGTCGTGGTTGGAACACAGGTACAAAGCCTAGGCCTGTACTGTAGTATTTAACTTTCAAAAATTCTTTCTGGAAAGAGTTCCATAAGCCGGGAGGGTACCGGTCAACTCGCTCGGTCCATAACCAACTTGGTCCGAGTCAACTCGGTCCCAAGTCAACGTCGGAGATCATTAATTATTTCATTGGGCGGTACATGATGGTCGGGTCACTTCCTCCACAACCACATGACCACTGACAACTGCACAAGATAGGCCAAGGGATTCTAAGAGGCATAGGGCCTACATTTTTCAATCTACACTAAGCTTGAAAGACTTTAGCCCATCTACGCTATGCTTGAAAAGTAGCCTTCGCGGTTGCAACTGCTAAATGGGACCGAGTCGATTTGGGACCGAGTTGATTTTGGACTGAGTTGACTTGGGACCGAATTGACTCGGGACTGAGTTGGTTATGGACCGTGTAGCCCCACTAGTGTGGCACGGATCACTCCCGATTTATCCTTAGCCACACATCCGTACGTATGCGTAATTTCGTGTCGGAGTACTGAACATTTTTGGCGCACCCACTTACAATCGTGGGTGCAATTTCTTTTGCATACGAACATGATTCTTGACCTTTCCGTTTTCTAAATACCGTTTATTGAATGATTTCACTCATGTTATTCAGGTATTTTCCAGTCTTTTTTCCTTTATCCATTCAATCTAACGGGCTCACTCTCACAGTCGCCATCTTTAAAATAAGGTCGTTGAGCATTACGTCACTTGACCCCTCGTCATCTCAGCGGCTGTTCCATGTCAAGACATGTAATAAACGGACTGAGCGATAAGATACTACATGCACCAATGGACTCTTTCAAAACTTTGGCAGCAGTTTAGATGTCTTGACATCGAACAGCTAACCTCCGCCACCTGGCCACTGAAAATGGTCGAACCAAGATGTGGAGCAAGCGCGGCTATTGGTGGGCTACACATGACTAATTTTCAGCATGTTTAAAAATGGAAACTTGTGCGCATTAAATTTTGCTTTCATTTCACAAAACTGGTGATTATATATGATATATAGTGCCCTCTGGCTTCCAATCAATTTACTAGTGCATGTACATGTAGGTCAGGAGCTTACCATGTAGAATATCTTCCTTCCCCCTTACTACGGAGTTATGATTGTGGGATGGTAAGATCATGTGCAGACTTCCTAAATTAAAACAGGGCTGACCATAGGATATGGATTGATTAAACATTGGAGGACTAGTCAAATATCCATTGCCTATGCTACAAATACATTTTAAAAACGCTGAATCTCTAACCTGTAAAGTGTCTCTTTTAATCCCAGACCTGGGCATGCTGGGTGTAAAGAAAGAAACTCTGAAAGAGATGTTCTTGATGAATCAGGCAGAAAGAATAAAACTTCATTGAACAGTGGCCATTCATCTTATAATATCAGGCCTGAAAAAGTCAGATCAAGAAACATTCTTCCCACATTTCCAACATCAGACATTGTTGAAATGCACAATGACAGTGTACATGTAGATAATGGATGCACTTGTATAGCAAGTGCGTCCTGTTGTTCAGAGACTTAAATTCTATTTGACGGTCTTTGGTTTATTTCTTTTATGTACTTCTGATTTTTATATTATGACATTTTGCACCAATCACTGGCTGTACTACGTGTAGTTATTTCCTAGTGACCATTTAGTTTTCGGTGCCATTTCTTCAGTATGTGTACATCTATTGTGCCAGTTTAGGAAATCGTACAATGAAACATTTGTCTTTTCTTGTATTTTATTGTCTACAGAGTAGTGGAAAAAGTTCTGTTTTAGAGAACCTGGTTGGGAGAGACTTCTTACCAAGAGGTAAGATGTTCAATGTGGTCTCACTTTGTTTCTCATTCAAATGAAATAACTGCATAAATCTCTTCCAATATTAAGTTATGTACCAATTGTCACTCAATAACAAGTTGACCTTTAAAGATTCATGTATATCTCAGTTTGGTTTTCAACAATAAAAAAGTTCTTTTGAGCATATCGGTTCCTTATTTTACCAATAAACATTGATACTCATAGTTCAAGCAGCATAAATTGCCCTTGTGCCTTGACCTTTATGACACATTGTAAACTCCTTTCTACCCACACACGGTATGATGTCATGACTCCCACATACATGTACATGTATTTCCCAATGGAATTTACCTTCCAGTGGAGTCATGGTCAGGTTAGTCTGGTGACATCACACTTTGTTGCTGCCTCACAAGTTTAGTTTCATCTGTTTATCGATGAATTCATCAATACTGCATTGCTCTGGGATTCCTTAGCAGGAAAGAAATTTGTCCCAGGCTTTGTTTGCATTATCACTTTAGAAAAACTCCTTGTTAATTTCCTTCCAATTCCATGAAGCAATACTATGATCAAAGGTCCATGGCTAACAAAACAATGGATTACTAATGATACTTAATGAAGGATGTTATCAGTATTCTTGAAATAGTCTTCTGTGTACTTTATCACACAACATTGTGATGACAATATAGTTACATTGAGTATTTCCTATCTGGTTTTGCCACCAGTGTGTCACACTCACTTGAAGGTTGTGTTGCTTATTGCATTTTTGAATATACAGCAGCAACTTGTTTTTAAATGACAGAAACATTCAAGGAAATAGGTCCCATGTTTTTGTTTTTGTGTTTGACAAATTATGCTGGAAATATTTTCAGTATCCTGGTGTGAAACCTTCTCTCAAAGCATTAAGTCACTTTCATTTGCATTACTTGCATAAGTTTGGGCAACTTGTAAAACAGACAAGGGTTCACTGCTAGCTGTTCACCTACTCAGAAATATAACACTGATCAGTGAAACTGTTTGGTAAAGTGATCACTAGCCAGTAGTTATAAGTAGCATGTGCAGCATTGTGGAATGTGACAAAATTAGGTGGCAGAGAAGTTGTTTAGGTGCCAGAAGATTGGCATGGCTGTTCTTGTACATGCTGCAGTAATCCCCTACAATGTAATGATCATAAATGTCAGTATATCATTTAAATGATTCTGTAAATTGATGGATGATGTTATTGAGTATTTCAACAAGATACAGATTGTAGATCTGTCCAATGCTAAAGTAATATTGACCATTGGGCAATACCTAATTTAGTGAAGAGGTGCGTGTCGGTTTCATTCTTTACTGGTCATTTGTTGTCAGGGATATCGAGCTAGTGGTAACAGGTAATCAAAGACAGTGCTGGCAGATGTAAAGTGTTTTAAATGCTGTGTTTTAGTGAGAGTACCAGCTTTTATTATCGATGTTGTTCGTGGTGCAGGAGGGAATTCCCCTCTCAAAGTTCTAAACTTGTGTGAAATCAAAGAAATACATGTACAGGTAATCAGAGAGCCAACGGAGTTGTTGCAATTCCCTAAGACCCCAGTCTACCATTTTTCTTCATATACAATCAACTATGAAATCTCACATAATGCCAACACTAGACTACTATGGTTCAAAACGGAGCTCAGCATAAATTGATGCATAGCAACTGATTCTTCTACATATCAATAAGGTGCCACTTAAGCAGGTGAATATCCTTCTTTAGACTCCTCCTTTAGGTTGTAGGTAGTTCTTTTCATGCTGTGTTGTGAAGTTTATTAGTGTCTTTATAATATTTCTCTATACTCAAACATGCAGTCTTACCCTTTTTTCAACTTTTCCCTGTAGGGAGTGGGATAGTAACCAGAAGACCATTGGTATTACAGATGATTCACATTGATGCTAATGACACCAAGACTGTCGGAGCCGACGGAGAAGGTAGTGTATCCAAAAGACAAAAATCTCAGCTCCTCTTTTGAGAAATGTTCCTGGGATTATAGCCGAGAGTTTGTTGACTTGTAGAAATAATGGTGGTAACATGTCTTTTGATGAATTGATGTAGAAGTATTCAATATTACATCATTTCTAGATAAAGGCCTGCAGTATGTGGACTTGAAGTGATTTCTCACTGAGTCTTAGCTAAAGATTAATTTCCCACGTGACTTTATACCAAATTTGTGTGTCCATTTGAAAATTAACAAATTATTGGTACTGAATGTGTACAAGAAATCTTCATTTCAGTATGTTGGAGAACCTTTTCCCCTTCAAACCACCACAATCTACGTACATGTATACATGTAGTTACTTAATTCCTTAGGTAACCAATATGGAATTGGTCCTGGTGGTGAGTACAAAGACTATTTTATGATGAACTTTTGCCCCGAATTGTTATAAGTTCAGTATCTTGCCTGTTCCCTGGAATAATGTTGAGGCTTTTGTCACCGCATGTTAACCGCAGAATTTGAGTGTTTTCGTGTATGTCGTCATGTGAAATGAAATGCTTGTTCCATTTGTAGATGTCACATGTTTATGTCAAGGGATCATGTAACCCTTTAGTTGTTTGAATGTTCCTTTTTTTTTGGTTTGCATTCATTAATTCTGTTTCCTTTTGTCAGTGGAATAGTTGTATTTCACCAAGTAGTTTATTTGTTTCTTTCCAATTTGAAGTGTTGATGATTGGAATGAAAAACTGGTGAGGCTGTTGAGTTTCCAAAGCACGATTCAGCTTTTTAAATACTTCTGAAACTTAATTCCAAACAAATTGAAATTGTATTTGTTCCATTTAGCCATAAATTTAATTTGGAATTGGTTAAAATAATAAACTGTTCAATTCTTCTTGTTTAGGACTTTGGATAATCCTAAGAAATTAAAATATCTTATTATTTACAGAAGTATTCAGTGTTAATCTTCATCACAAACTGAAACATTAAGAAAGTTCCTGCTTGGATGTTGTTTACATTTAACTGTCAGGAATAGATAAACTTGACAGGATTGTGTGGCTTGATTTGGTTAAATCTTCTTGCAGATGAAATTCAGGCAGAGGAATGGGGTAAGTTTCTTCACACCAAGAACAAGATCTACACTGACTTTGATGAGATTCGACAGGAGATTCAAAATGAAACTGATCGCATGGCTGGTGCTAATAAGGTACAAACGTGCTTGATATTGGTAACATATAGTCTGCCTCATACATGTAGTTTACAAATGACATTGACAAGTCAAGGATAGACCCTTGATTGGCTCATGAGGGGGTTTACTGGTAGCTACATGTATGTGTGGGTGTGGGAGGGGGGGATGAGTAACCTGTATCTTCTATTGTTAGTCGTTTGTTTATTTTTTTTCATGAGGAGAGTGCATGGAGTCTTCCCCTACATAAATGCCATTGACAGCTGTATTCAAATGTTCAAAACACTTTAAAATATGGTCACGAGTTGCCGAGCTCAAATCTGAAGTATAGTTTTGGCAAAATACATAGACCACCACTAAAGAAAAAGCTGTTCATAACTAGGATGAAACAAGAATGGTACTAATAATGTGGGGCGATGCACTGTAGGTTGTGGTTAGGGGATGTAAATATTTGTTGTTGATTTTTGTATTGTTTTTGGATGAACCCTTAAAGTAACTTAGATTTAAAATCAGTTAATTCTTCAGTACTCTTCTTAATGTCTTCTTTTCTGTTTGCTTCCTTGCAGGGTATCTGTCCCGATCCTATCAATCTCAAAATCTTCTCACCCAAAGTATTGAACTTGACCCTGGTTGATCTGCCTGGTCTTACAAAGGTAATCATCACAACTTATCTGTAAGCCTTATGCTCTGTGGGTATACTGGTATATTTGCAGTATTGTCAGTAGTATGGTCCCTTTTCCTTCACAAGCAGCTTTCTTGTTACTTGAAATCTGCCCACATAGAGACAAAGTAATTTCCTGGAAAAAGTTAACTTTGACCTTTACCCTCTTTGTCATACAGGTTGCTGTTGGGGACCAGCCAGAAGACATAGAAGTTCAAATCCGTGACATCATCCTTCAATACATCAGCAACCCTAATTCTATCATTCTTGCCGTCACTGCTGCCAACACGGACATGGCCACATCTGAGGCACTCAAGCTTGCTAAGGAGGTAGATCCAGATGGTAAGTGGAGCAACAACTTCATTCCTTGAATCATCTTAGATTTAGGTGATAACTATCACTATTTTGTCATCGATGCTGAGTACCAGTTGAAAGTGCTTGTGTATGTGATATCATCTTATGACATTGGAAGACCGTCAGGTTGGAATCCTTGCCCTCTTAGAAGTCTGTAAAACTATTTCATATGTTTGGCTTTCTTACAGGGAGGAGAACTCTTGCTGTAATCACTAAACTGGATCTCATGGATGCTGGCACTGATGCAGTGGATATACTTTGTGGAAGAGGTATACATTGATAAACAGCATTAATCTGATGTAGTAATGTGTGACATGTTTCATCAAAATTGATAGAACTAAGTAGAGCTTCAAAACAAGGACAGCAAAAGCAAAAAAGAAATTCTAAACTTTAATGTAGGATCTCAAAATAAATTAGGACTTTAATTTACATTTTTTTTTACCAATTCTGTCATTAGATATTCATAATTTCTCTGATGTATAAAACATGGCTCGGGGTAAAAATTATTTGAACATTGTATGCATCTGCAGGTAAAATATTTCTTACTGTTAACGTAGGTCTGCAGATAGCAGATTTTTCTAAACGGTCACAGATATTCTCTGTACATGTATTTCAAAATGCAGCAATTTGACCTTTGAAATTAGACGAAAACCTAAAATAGGGTAAAGTGAGCTACTTTTGAAATGAAATGTGCCTCATTTTGACACAGTACATGATAGACATGTAATGATAAACTGTTACAATTTTTCAGTGATACCTGTCAAGCTTGGCATCATTGGAGTTGTTAATAGAAGCCAGATGGACATCAACCAGAAAAAGGTCTGTCATGAGAAATTAATTCATATCTTTACTGTTTTGGTCTCTGTAATACAAGTGCTGATTTTTGTGTCCAAGGTATTTGGAAATTCGAACATCTTTCCTGTTTGAAATGCCAAGTTGTTGGTGTGGTATGTATCATAATTGGAATAAAGCTACTTGAACCCAGTTTTTGTTACCAAAGTTGGCATCAAAAAGATGAACTTTGAGAAATACAGACACATACTTAGAAACCAGAGGACATGAATTCCAAAGTTTGTAATGGGTTTATTTTTTTAACCATCAAAAATACCTCCTTTTTTCAGGAAATCTCAGATGCGATAAGGGATGAAGCAGCATTTCTTCAACGGAAATATCCAGCTTTAGCTAATCGTAATGGAACACAGTACCTCGCTAAAACACTCAATAGGGTAAGGAGCTATGGAAACAGTTTCAGTCAGTTTTTAGGTCTGTTGGTATTGGGCTGTAAAAATTTTTTTTTAAGACAAAAAAAAGATATGTTTGGGCTTTTTTTGTGGGTGTTAGTTTGATAGGGAAATTTTCCAATGTCGGTGTTATTGCAAGTCCTGAGGTCTTGGTATGGAAGTTTGAATCCTGAGTTATTTGGCGTGGTTCTGAGTTTGTCTTGAGTCATTTGGCTTGAGTGTACATGTAAGTCTAGATTCTGGGTTCATGTCACAAGTTGAAAAATTGCACAAGTAGCAAAACTCTATGCTTGATTTTTGTATTTGTTGGCTGCCCATATCTTGTAAAAGCCTGACTCTAAAGGGGACAACACCGATGACACAAATTGAAGAATTTACTCGTGTTAATTTCAGTTATTGATGCACCATATCCGTGACTGTTTACCTGAGTTGAAGACCCGCGTCAACGTCATGAGTTCACAGTTTCAGCAACTCTTGGCTTCGTTTGGTGAACCAGTGGATGATAAGAGTCAAACCCTTCTGCAGATTATTACTAAGTTTGCTGCCAGTTACTGTGCAACTATAGAAGGCACAGCTAGGAATATTGAAACATCAGAATTGTAAGTGATGGTGGAGGAGTATTGAAACACCAGAAATTAAAAAAAACCCTCAATTCCCTGAGACTTGCTGCTGTAACCTTTTGAATTTTCACAGGTCCTTCAAAATAAATTGAATTATTGGCACATTGTAGACATTGTGTGTGTAAGCTTTTATTAAACTGAGCCATTTTGAAACCAGTTTAACTGAATAATACTATTCAACATAAATACATGAGGTAAATAACGTAAAACTGTCTCGCATGTGATTTACAGTGTGTGACAATTGTCCAATTTGTCTGAAGTGTGAAGGAATGTCAATCGTTCAAAGGTTCCTGTGGACCTTTCATAATGTCACAATTGTAAGTTGGTGGATAGGAATATGGAAATGTCAGAATTACAATTTGTCTGGTAGAAAGTTTGAAATGTCATAAGGTTAGGTTGCCTCAGAAGTATTTAAATATGTGAACAGGGTTTTATTGCTCTGAATATTGAAACATAAGAATTGCAAGTATCAGCAATGTAGATTTCTAATTCTAGGATTGCTTGTGGAATGGCTTTTTTTATTGCCAGATGTGGAGGTGCTCGTATTTGCTACATTTTCCACGAGACTTTTGGTCGGACGTTAGATGGCATCGATCCCCTGGGTGGGCTGAGGACTATTGACATTTTGACGGCTATCAGAAATGCCACAGTAAGGCAATTTGCATCTTATCATTGACAGACTCAGCTCTAGAATGGCTTATAGCTGGGTTAGGTTGGATATATGGATTGCCTGAAGGCACTTTGAAGGGATATTTAAAGGGTTAGTAAGATCTTGAAGGTGAAGATTGAAGACAGCATAATGACACATCAAAGCAAGAGGCAGTTTCAGAACTGTAAATTCTGTTGTTGGAAGTGTTCCATCATGCAGAATTATTGTGATCATTTAATATTATTCTGCAAATTTAATAGATATTTTTATATTTTATATATTTATATTTTTATTGTGAGCACTAGTAACTTTTTCCTAAGATATGTTTTACCAGATTATCTGGATTTGTAACTGTCCTATAAATTTACTGTACACCAGGAAAGAATGGAGTACACAAATCAAGTATTTACCCACTGGAAATGGAATAGCAAACTAATGTATTCTTGATATCTTTTCCAGGGCCCCCGTCCAGCTCTCTTTGTTCCTGAAGTTTCCTTTGAGCTTCTTGTCAAACGTCAGATTCGTCGTTTGGAGGAACCTAGTTTACGTTGTGTAGAGCTTGTTCATGAGGAGATGCAACGTATCATTCAGCACTGTGGTACTCAGGAAATGCTTCGATTCCCGAAGCTTCATGATCATGTAGTAGATGTAGTGACAGCTCTGCTAAGGAGACGACTACCAACAACCAATGCCATGGTGAGTCAGTCTTGCTCAAGCTATATCCGGAAGATCTGGTTCATTCATTGAAAGCATTAATCCTGTTTTATGTACTTTGCTGTTATGACAAAATGAACCAATCTGGTATTTGAAATAGGTAAGGTCACTTAAGAACAAAGCACCCCAGTTTGAATATGTTCAGTGTGTGTGAGTCTGCATATGAAGGTGTATTGATGTTATTGACTGACCTTTGATGCATTTCATTTGGAACATGTGCTGTTGAAACTGGCACACTGTTAAAAAATAAGCCAGTGAAGTTATTGTATGCTTAGTTGAAGCAGGGAATTTCATAAATACAGTGCCGCTAATAAAGTGCACAACTGGAAATGTGTATTAAGTAATGACTTTAGAGACTTTGGTAAATGTTTCTTGATACTTTCTCATTTGAAGGTTGAAAACTTGGTGGGTATTGAGCTGGCGTATATCAACACCAAACACCCAGATTTTGCTGATGCAAGTCTGGGCAACGCATTGACTGACCGTTGATGCATTTCATTTGGAACATGTGCTGTTGAAACTGGCACACTGTTAAAAAATAAGCCAGTGAAGTTATTGTATGCTTAGTTGAAGCAGGGAATTTCATAAATACAGTGCCGCTAATAAAGTGCACAACTGGAAATGTGTATTAAGTAATGACTTTAGAGACTTTGGTAAATGTTTCTTGATACTTTCTCATTTGAAGGTTGAAAACTTGGTGGGTATTGAGCTGGCGTATATCAACACCAAACACCCAGATTTTGCTGATGCAAGTCTGGTCAACGCATTAGTGGATTATCAAGAAAGGGAACTAAGGAAGAAAAAGAATGAACTAGTTCCGGCCTCTGCATCTGCTATTGATCAGCACACAGGCAAAGTAGATAAAGTAACCAAGGTAACAGAATGTTCTGGTGTATATTTTGGATGTTGAGTAGCACAGTGATGACAAGAAGCTAGACTTAAGCAGTAGTATGTTTGTGCATAGGTTGTACACAAACACTCAAAGTTCCTTTGACTAGTAACATCTTGCCAAATCACATACAAAGAATACACACTGCATGTATACAAGCATGGTATCTGCATCATAGTAAGAACAAGTGGCATGCACTTTTTAAGGCTTTACATTTTGGAGTCAGAGGTTAAAATATTTACTTCATTTGTTTCCCTATCAATGATGAGTTGGTTGACTTGAGACTGTCATCTTTCCAATTTAGGCTGTCTCTCAGTTGGCTACAGCAGATGGGGTGACAGCACCCAAAGACCTACGGGAAACTTCTGGTAGTGCAAGCACCGTAGGTTCCTGGGTACCTAGCTGGGTAAGGGGGTCCAGTGGTGCCCCTAAGGGTGTGACCGCGGAGGGAGCAGGAGAAGCACCAGCCACACCCCCACAGATGCAGAGTCCCAAAGTGGACAAGAAGACACATGGTTTGAACCTTCTTCCTGATGTTGTAAGTAAACAAATTTCTTCAGCTTTGGCAAACTCATGTTGTTGCTGAGCAAAAGGAAATGCACAGAAAATTATATGTTTGTCAAAAACGTTATAAAGCAGTGTCTGACAACATACATTACCTATGATTTGGGCCAGAGATTTGAAGTCTTACTGTTTAAAAAAGAGAAGATTGCTTTTTAAATAAACGTTAGAATGATTGGATCAGATTTTAAAAGATATATGATAATCAGTGGCTTTCATTGAATTTTAGTATTATTTCATTCACTTGATTGCAGCCGGATGTTCCATTGAATAGAAAATTATCATCAAGGGAACAGAGAGATGTTGACGTCATCAGTAAGTCATGAGATTTAATACCCTTCAATTGACCCGTGACCCTAGTTCATGTACGTCAGCTTTCACTGGTACCCACTAGGGACATGCATTGACTTGTATTGTTTGTACAGTAATTTTATTAGTTCATGTTTGTCCCAAGTTCTCATTCTTTGTGATTTGGAAAAGTATCGGATAGTGTTTGCATCGTCATGCTGTGTTCTGTGCATGGTATGATAAATGTCTGATACTGAAAGGAAGAAGGGAGCTTTTATAACACTCAGTTTTTTCTGAGGGTGAACCTTGTAAGTGATGTGAGCCAGTTTGGAGTCAGCTCGTAGTATGTTTCATATTGGAACCAATGTCATTGTTAGGGTATACCGGATTAGAGTGCATTGACACTTGATGATGCTGCTTTAACATCCAAACCATTTTGAAGTGTGAAAAAATTCTTTCATTAAATTGTTTGAATGCAGTCCCCATATTTTCCCTTGTTTATTCTCTCCTTGTTTTACAGAGAGACTCATCCAGAACTATTTCTTAATTGTACGCAAGAACATTCAGGACAGTGTGCCTAAGGCAATCATGCATTTCTTGGTTAACCATGTGCAAGACAATCTGCAGAGTGAACTGGTGGGAAAACTGTACAAACAAGAAGCCATTGAGACATTGCTGAAGGAGTCCGAGCACATGTCACAGAGGAGAAAAGACGCCCAGGAGATGTTACAGGTGGGTCATGGTAGATGGAGGGTGTCTTGAGCCCTGAGGTAACATCCAGAAGTTTGCCACACTGAATAACTTGACAAGGCTTGGAAGTTAAGACTCAAGTTTGAGGGCTTGGAATATGGAACGTTTCTAGAGACTTAAACACTTGTTGTCTTGCATATTTTTGCAAGGGTTTTCTACCCACAGAAAACTTCTTATACATGGTTTATTTGTTTTATATATTTGTATCGGCAGGCACTTCAAAAAGCTAGTCATATAATCAGTGAAATCCGAGAGACGCATGTCTGGTGAGTTTTCCTTCATCTCGGTGGTAAGTTTAGAGAAGTAGAATAGAATGGCAGATACACTCGGGGAGGGAGGGCTGGGGATAAGACTGTGGAGGGACTACTGACGGGAGGGCATCACCTGGTAGTTAGCCTCTAAATAAGACTTTTGAAAATGCATACATAATAAGTAAAATATTATTTTGATTTGTAAACATGTAAATAACATCTTTTGCAATTTGTTTCAATTAAATTTTGTTTCAGATATGTAGCATTTTATTTTGAGTGTATCCTACCGATTCTTGATGTTTAAGTTTTTCAATGTCTACAGAATTCAATAAACCTCTTGAACTAGTTTTCCAGAAATGTGTCATTCCTGTAGTTTAAGATTCATTTTCTTGTTTGATGCTGGACTGATGTGAGTCTTACATGAATCACTTTTGAAATTTGTGTTTCACAGCCATAAGGGTCAATTTCAGAGTTGTCACAGAAATATGTTGAGGTCAAATGTGTTCAGTTCATGAAATTGCACCAAGTTTCAAATTAGAAATGCCTTCATTCAGGCTCCTGTATTGTTCATTGTATGAGTCTGATAATTGTTTAGAAGCCCTCTTGCAAACTGTGACATGTGAATAGTGTGGTAGGCTGGAAAATAATTAGGCCATGAAAAGTAACCAAGAATTCATCTGCTAGCAAAAAAAAGACAGCAAGAAGGAAAACCCCCACAAAATCAAAATGAAGTACACGTACATGTGTGGTTCACCTCCACAAACTTTCCGCTATTGTACTAGCATAGTAAAGTATGTATCATTAAAATATTGTAGGCTAGAATTATGGATTATAAGGAAATTTAACACCTTTAATTATACCTGTACATGCACTAATTATATGATTATCAGCAGAACTTGGCATCAGAAAAATTATTTAAGTTATGAAACAGGTTGACGTATGTCCAGACATTTTGTATATAATAAATAAAATATGTGTAAAACCATTTGTACTTCAAACTTTTGGATATACATTACATGTAGAATATCTCCATTGTATGTTTGTGTAGTTTGGATGTAAAATTTCTTTATACTGTAGGCCAAAACGAAACATCCTTACAAAAGCAGATTAAAAGCTTTGCTCAAACCTTACCGATTTGCTGTGTTTAAAATAGTTTAACTCAGAGAGAAATCCTTCATGTCAGAGATGGTACACGTACCAGTATGTCTGTTGTCTGGCCTCTGACCAAAGGTTTTATTTTGTGGCTGCAATGCAGCAAAATCAGAATGGATTTTAGAAGTTAGTAAAGTGAATTTTACACCTTGACCCCTTCAGTTTACTGGATACTGGAGTTTATTTCCGTCAGTTGAAATACGAGTGCAATTATTGCTTCAAAAGACCTCTTAGAGCTTTGTGTATCTTGAAAAAAGTCAACTCTACTGAAAATGTGCATATTAAGTTTTCTCCTTAGAAACACCTTTCCATCATTTAAAAATCATACACAGGGTTGAACTTAGGGAAATATTAGGGATCTTAGGACTTAAAGGCAAAACAAAGGTGAATTCTGAATGTTTGATTAAAATTTAAAAGAACTGTCTTGAAAGTATTGTAAATATGCATGGTGTATGGAGGATTAAGCAAAAGACAAGGGTTTTGATGTCTGGTATTGCGTTAGAGATTAATGTATACTTGGAAGAGAAATCAATTTTATGTGTAATTACAATGTCATGTATGTTTTTGTGGATTTTTCAATTGAGAAATTATTGTGATTGTGGCTTTGGGTAAACAATAAAATCCAATTGTGCATACCATGTTATCCAAAAATGAAATAACCCTGGATGTATCTTCATGTGCAAATGAAATTGTGTACATGTACATGCAACATCTTTATTTTTGGGTGGATACTTCAAGCATTCACTGCTTTGGGCAACTTTATCATTTTGGTATCAATTCAATCAACAGACAGGTGATTCAGCATATGACTTCAAATTTCCCCTGTTAACAAAAATTACAGCAATACATTCAAGATATGAATTATTTATGTAAGGTAACAAACAAAATGCAGTCACTCGGTATGTCGGACATTAATTTCACTGACCCTTCTATCTTGCATGAAGTGTTCTTCTGCAGATTTCAAAACATCACTGTTGGTAAACAAAGCCTCTCTTCACACCCTTGTAACTAAAAAGCCAGTGTTATTTGTTATCACAAAATGAGAGAACATCAGTAAAGACAGAATTAGTTACTACTGTTTGTTTACATCAGACAAAACAAACTACTTCCTGGTTAATCCTTTATAAAACAAAATCACAAATTTCGCAAAATATCCCCCCCCCCCACTGGTGAAAATGTGAATACTCATGTCACATTAGAGGCATCACTTTCTTACAAATCTCTTGTACTTATTACTCTTATTTTGCTAATGGGGTTGTCAATTCGGACGTGGTTGTTTTTCGTCTAATGCCCTTACAAGTGAATTTGTGACAGCAAAGAATATCAGTAATCTCACAACTAGATGCAGGAAAACATTTTAATCAGACAAAACTTTCAGATTAAACAGTTACTTTAATCACAAGCCGAGTTTGTGATTTATAACTTGAAGAACCAACCAAATGCAATACTCAACTGAGTGTAGTTGAGAAATTTACGATCCATTTGAAATTACATCCATTTTGTTTTATTGACTGATCGCTGCAAATTACAAATGGTTAGTGATTTTAGTACAAGACAGCAATATTGCAAACTAAAATTCATTTGTACAAGTTTACAACATAAGATCTACAGCTACATTGGGGAGAACTTGTGCAAATGCAAGTTTGCAGCAACACTGCTGTTTCTGTGGGTTTCTCACATTCCTTAGGATTCACATTGTCACTGTCCCATAGTCCAACATGCTAGACCACTCATTCCATCAAATTCCAATTTGATGGAAAGGACACAACCTAAAGAGACTTCAATGCTTATGCTAAATGGTTCCAATAAATTCCATTACAATTCCAACTGCACTGGTGCAATTTGATGGACTGAGTGATCGGCTGGATGCAATACAAACCACAGAAAATCCAATAAAATCTGTCAACTGGCATACACTGGGAGTAAATCTGAGTGAAACCAAACATGCATAAACCTACTCAAGGCTATTTCTTATATCCAACCTAACTGCACATACAAAGAAATCTGTTTTTAAACCAACTACATTGAAGTTATAAGCCTCAGTTCCCAGCCCTGAGTGTTACCTGCAAACTTCCATCCATCAAACAGCTGAGGATATCATTTATGTGTGCAAAAAATAATCTTTGTGATGACATAGGGATGTGCACAGAATTTGGACCAAGGGTGGACTAGAACCTGGGACCATTGTACCATGGGTCAAGTGCTGTACTGACTCAAGTTAATAGGATGGGACTGGGGACTCAAAAGCCCAACTTTGCCCGTTATGATTACAATTTGGCATACAACTGAAAAAGTCAGGAACAAGGGAATTCCAAGAAACACAAGATTTTTGTACAGTGGTTTTTCCATTTTGTACTGACATACAAGTTAAAAAAAGGAGCAGAAATCAGCTGTTTGGAAGGAAAGCTTGCCAGCCAGAAAATTTACCCTTTGACTTATTGAAGGGAGGTACTGCCACAATGTACAAATGGCTAGGCACATTCATGCAATGCCAGCAAGCTGCAGATTCAGTTCTAAGACTCTTGCATGTACACCACACCAAGTTATGGTATACAGCCTTCACAGTGTAATGAACTTATTACTGGGAACTGAGATAGGGTCACATGCGACCATCGAAAGATGGTGAATGCTTGGCTCCACAACATTTAGTGGAAAGAACTTAGCTGGAAATATTTCACTAAACGAACAATGTAGAGGTCCTGTACATACAGGGGTCTCATAATTTTTTCTTGGAAAGTGAGTTTCTGTACTTTTTTCTGGACAAACATGGCTTTCCAACAGCCTGCACAAACTATTACTGCCTTCTCTTAATGCATTACATTTTGCTTGTTTTCACAACCCCCCCCCCAAAAAAAAGAAAAAAAAAAGAAAAACAGAAATCTGCATCTTCAAAATGCTGGAAAAAATAATTACTACAATTTTGAAGACATAATCATCCTGAATGAATGCGTTACAGTACAGATTTGGTGGACCTAAAATTACTTCATTGTTGGTATATAATGACTAACATACAAGTTATGTTACAAGACGTTTTTATTTTCATATTTAAGGGGGGAAGAGAACAATGTGTGTGCATGATTTTGGATTTACTCTTGCATTGCACAATTCTGCAGAATGGGTGCATACCTCTACCTGGGTACTCTTTATGAAAACCACTAGCCCTGAACAAGTTCTTGTAAATATTTGATGGGCAAAAGTATAAAAAAACAGCCACATACTGCCTTGACACAATTTGCTTTTTTATACTGTTTTTATCAACAAAGCTCAAGACCATCTGTGTCACTACAGTTAGTTTGCTATAATTTGTTGACAATTTGTCAAGTACACGTATCAGGTAATGGTTTATATTAACAAAACTGGAATATGGATTAAATGATGAACCTCTTTTGAGGATTTGAAAGCAAGATGTACTTGGTTATCAGTTGGTTCTAGTTTTTTACACCACTTTACGGAGCAAAAGTTTCCTACAAGACTCCAACAGTAAAATGGTGCTCTTTTGTGGAAAAGGCTCATTTTAATAAAGCTAACCTTCAGATATTCACCAGTTCAAATGTGAAAATAGATCAAATGCTTCTTTCTGACAGCAACATTTCAATCATGGTTCTAATGCATTTCTTCAGACTAAAACATGTTCTAAAATGCTAAACTTAACTAGATACCATAATTGAAATCTGTCTGTCCCCTTTTCTGAAAACCTGCTTGAGCAAAAACTTGCAGAAAAGCCTTATTTCAAACACTAGCCTATTACATGTACAAATACTGCTCAACTGAATGGCAGATCCCTTGTAGTTTACCAAACATCCCCAAGAAAGTAATCACACTAACTTGAAGGGACTTTCAACTTTTTACAAATCCAAACTCTAGCCTGAGGCTCAATGCTGTCTAAAGCAAACTTTTAAAACAAATAGCCCTCTTACTTCCCTTTTAGTTTCTGCAGTTTTGAATCGCTCAAATAAAAAGATAAACCAGCACTATGATCCTCAGGCCAGACCAATCACACTTTAGCTTTTTTATATGCTTTCAATCTTTCACTGTCGCATATAAAAGCAGCTACTATGGTGGCCTATAATCCATGGGCAGTAGAATGTTCTTTTTCAGCCACCGTAGCAGATGGTAAAGAAGGAAAGCTGAGTCGATGTACAAGAAAAGACAACAAAAGATGATACAGCAATGTCATTGCCTGTCAGCATACAGTCTTGTCCATTCTCTTGCTGTATATGATAAAAGGACAACAAAAGAAACTAATCTCAATGAATTCATTTCCTACTATGGACAACATTTTAACATGTATAACCAGTGAATGGACTTGTTACATGGATTGGTCAGTGGATGAAGTGGGAGAAGGTTCAACCTAACCCATTAAGTGATATTGTTACTAGAGTCTTTTTGAATTGACCAAAACCAAACAAACAAAATTTAGAGGAAACCAATGGCAAACTGATTTTTTTTCATCAAAATGATCCTAGAATACATACTAGATTTAGGTAATTTCAGGGTGACTTGGGTGTATGCAAATGAGACCAGTTCTAGACACAATATATACATTTTATGAGCTCTTCCTGTGTTAAAATTGGCAATATTTTGTTTTGATGGTGAAATGGAACTTGGGTTAGGGCTTAGTGAGTAGGTTGGGATAAGCATTTAGCCAAGGGAGACGTTTTGGTTGGTGGGATGAGGACTGAATATAATTATTTCCGTGAATAATATCAATCATCTGGACTAACTAACCTGTGTCTATAGCTTTTGCTTCATTTGTTTTCCACTGTTCAGCAACATCATTTGCTAAGGGATCATCTGGATTAGGAGCACTGAGGAGAGCTTGAATTGATAATAAGACAGTCCGAATCTGCAAAGCAGGACTCCACTTATCTGCGCAGTCACAGATTACATAAAAGTAAACAAAATTTAACAGGAGAGTGAAACAGCTGAAGGTTATATTTTTTCCCAAACAATCAAGAGTGCCTGCCTACTTGATCATAATCAGGTGACAAGTTCCACAGTTGGGACCTACCAGCTTGCAAAGAACAAGAACCACAAACTTTATTCTAATTTCTTTTTTTTTTACCAAAGATACAATGCTAAACCAGCAATAAAAACTCTAGAATCAATCCTGCAACATACAGGCAGCTGATGTAAATTACCAAGAATCATAAAATGAAAATTCACCAAGTGAATGGCCTACCTTTAAGAATATCCAGACATATGCGACCCAACTTATCAACATTTGGGTGGTATATTTTGGTCATGAAGCGTACTTTAGGTGCTGACATTGGATAATCCTCTGGTAGGAAGAGTTCTAACTTGAAACTGCCTCCCTGATATGGTGACTGGAAGTAGTAACAAAAATTGAAAGAGGATACGTGAAAACAAAGCAATGCACAAGAAAAAATTGAAAAGAATTTTTAACTGCACGAGTGCTTGTACCTTTTTTCTCTTCTGAGGGAGTTTTGGTACAAGAATTTCTGAATGAAGCCTATGCCAAATAAGACTGTACAGTGCAAACACATGTACTAATGCATAGCTTATCCAGGGTCAACCTAAGCCTGACACCATACATGTACACCTATTAGCTCTGTGACTATGTATGGATTAACAGACTCAATATGAAGAGCTGGGCCCCTACATGTAGGTTCCAATGTTGCATACATAAAAAGATCCATCAAATATTATGGAATGTATAAACAAATGGTGTTGTAGACAGACCTCGACATTAACAATGTCCAACTGTCTAAACAAGTACATGTATTTATTCATTCAGGCAAGTTGAACTTCAGGACAAGTTACCTGATGGACAGGTAATGGACAGGTACTTTTTCCCTTGAAAGTGCAGTTTTTCATCACCAAGAATTGTGTTCCTTTCTATACACCAGAAAAAAAAGGCTTTGAGTATGACTTAGCTGCAAAATGATTCTTACATTGTGTGTGCAGCCTCCATGGTTCTCCAGAGCAGGCATGTCGTACACAACATACGCACGATGCTGACCTCAAGTTAGCATTACTACTATGAATACAAGCACAATCAAGAATGATATGAATGTTGTTATCATTTCTTACCTCTGTTGGCCCAGCGACTTTGACATGAAAGTATCTGGAATTACTTTCATCTGGAACAGCTTCTATTCCTGGCACCGGTTCAGTCATTAAACGCTGTGTCTCCTGACACAAAAACACAGTACAAAATGTACAATATCAACCAGTTAATGATTAAGCCTACATTTCCCTGATCTTTTTAAAATCTTTCTGGATTTGGAAAATAAGACAAATTAATGGTACATAAGACTTACGGAAAGTTACAGGACCTGATGTTAGTAACTATCTTTCCGCGGCGAGTTATTTTCTCACTGTGGTGAGTTAAATCGTTAAATGTGCAAGTTATAAGATCCTGACATGGCATCTAATTGATATGCCGCCACAGGGAATATTTCAATAGTTTCATAAGTCCTATTCAGCGCATCATTTTCAATTGTATCTTTAGGATGAAATGCATTGAGATTTGGTTTTAGATTGCTAATTGGAACAGAAATGGATGTTACATTTTAACAAACGCTTGTTTTCGAACACAAAGACAACAAAATCTTATTTTGTGGTGTGAATTTCCAAGTTCAGGTGAGAGGCAAACTGTTTCTAATTCCTTACTTCATTTTCCTAGTGCAGACTTGAAAGTTACATTAATTTTGAACTTTCATCAGTCAAAATTTATTAATTTATAGTACTTGAAATGGGAGATTAAAAACAGTACTTTTACAAACACAACACCTGAACTACCTCACAGCTTTGAACGCTCAAACCAATTCAGTGTAAGTGCACATGTCATACACACTGAGCCGGAAGTGTCGACTCGTGTTTAGATGTTAATATAGACTCCATCCAATAAGTTTTTGACACAAATATGTTATGTATTTGCCTCCTTCCCAGCACCCTGCACTGTATCGATGGTTTGTGACAAGTGCACACAAGGATGTGAGGTCAATGAGCCTGGGGGTTTCAATTCAGTTGATGAAAAAAAGTGTGTTAGTTTTCTTTTCACCTTTACTTCATTTTTCTTTTTGCCTGCAGAAATCTCCTAATTCAAAGCCGATTTTAATGTTAGGATGATATCAGCATTGAGGTCCAAAATAGCAACAAACAATAGCTTAAAATATGCATGGGTGTCGCCAGATGTTTTTGGGGGAGAGGACAAACCATCTAGTTCAAACAATAGCATTTAACTGCTGGAAGAAGTTCGATTTTCTTTTTTTTTTCTCAAGAAAATAATTATGTTCTATTTCACTTCTATTTTTCATTTCTTTGACAGTTTTTTTTGTTTTATTTTGTTCTTTTCAGGGTCCCCCTCATGGCAGGTATGTTAATAGGATTATTTAAAGTATAAATGAAAAGGCACCATAATCCTTTCACCAGGCAGTGTACCGGGAGTCAAAGTAGTCTACCCCACCTGCGGATATTGAAATTCATACCCCAAAGAGAGATTTCTTTTGTTTCCTCTGTGTTGCAAATCAAGCTTGGTTGAAATGTAACATCCCCTTTTGTTCCAATGTTCCCCTTTTGTTCCAATCTAAAACCAAATCTCACTGCATTTCACCCTAAAGACACATTTGTAAACAGCACGCTGAATAGGACTTATAAAACTATTGAAATATTCGCCAGCATATGTACAATGTACAGTGTGTATGCTACACGTGCATGCAGGGCCGGCTGGCAGCTGAAAACAGGCCACGTTCGTGATGCAATGATCGTAATATATTTGCACGATAATTATAGGCCTACATATGAAAGTCGCAGCGGGATAAATGTGAAATTGTAAGTTACAAACGGATCACAGTTCTTTTTTGGTGATGTTATCCACTGTGCTTGTCATATAGTTCGTTCTTTGTAATGTGCTCTTAAATTTCTTTAGGGGCGCGATTTTTACGCTCCTTCAGGAGTGCTGAGGAGCATGGTAGGAGCGGCTGCACAATCGCGCTCCTTTAAAATGAAGGACTGCCACGGCAAGATACAAAATCAACGATTTAACTCGCCACGCCGAGCTTTTATCTCTGATAATAACTGAGATGATAACTTAACAAATTCTGTAAATTCCCAAAGGAAAACAACAATTTATCTGAAATAACTTCTGGAAAATAACTAAATTTTTTATGCGGGCGGTGGACGGAAACCCGGGATATTCATTCCCATGGCCTTAGGCTATTTCAGTACATGTATTTGCCAACTGTTCAGTTTGTCCCAGCATGCCCAGCAGTAGGCCTATCGCAAGATCATGAAGAGAGACTTATTGAAGTTACTGCAGTCATGCAGTTTTCAACATGTTCAAATGCACAAACATGACAAAATAAGGTAATCTAGGCCTGTGTCTATGGTGGGTAATGACAGGCCTAGGCTACACATCATGTACACTGTACTTGGTAGTGGTCGTCGCTGTGCTCCACTACAGTGTATGTGCACTACAATGGTCAAACATGCCAAACGCATTGCACGTCTCGATTCTCTTCAATGCATTTTTCAACTTCAAGCATGTCAAGGAACCAAAATACACGAACATGACGAAAAAAAGGGTGTGTGATTTCATTTTAATTACCTTAATAATTCTCCTTGGTAAGCCGGCCATTTTTTCGGTTGCTCTGGTTGTTTATGTAGTTGCACTAAAATTACAAAATGCGGGCTTTTTTCGGACAAACCCGCGTTAGTTCCGCTCAAAAACAGCAGTTTTCGGAGGCGGACTGGCAGTCACGTTGAAAATGGCGAACAGAATTTCTGCCAGAGATAGTGCAGTCTTCCGGAACTAGGCATGATGGGTACGAACTTTGGGTTCTGATCCTCTACGGAGGCCGATGATAGACAAACGAAGTTTGATTTATCCAAAAAATTTCCTTTAGACCTGTGTGTTGGTTTTGGGGTTATGGGCAGTGAACAGAAAAAAAGCCACAATCTAGGCACCAGCGGCGGAACGAGTTTCGGGGGGGGGGCAGTTGTGAGACCATCGGGCATCAGTCATTAATAGGGCAATCCATTAAGCCCCATCCCATTGTAAGACCTGCAAAAATGGGGGGGGTGCACCCCCAGTTGAAAAAGTATGGGGGAGGAGTGTATCCCCTCCACTGTTTCACCTGCAACCTGTACTTGTGAAACAGATATTTCTGCACTTTGCCATAATCAGCCAAACTTTATCACAGGATTGGTTGTAGATGCATGGTGATTATATATTCAGTTATCATTATCTAAAACTAAATTCAAGGAGAGGACTTCAAAATGACCATGGACATTGCTGAGATCTAGAAACTGCATTCCATTTGTGCTTTTATTATCTTTCCATGATGTTATGTAATTTAAACAAGTTTGAAAAATTATTTGCCTTATTTACAATAATTACCAGATTGTTGATTTCTCTCTGTCCCTTCTGTCACAAATCCTTTAATTGATAAAACAGCCTTCAGTGAACACCTAAATTTACATTAACTCAATTTACCCAGTGCCAATACAAAACAGAGTCCACTTTCAATGAGTGGCTAAGCAGAAACATTTGCTCAGCAAACATCCATGCTTAGCTCCAGCTCCACAGAACTGAGTTCCAGACAGCATGTACCACGTTGTTTGTTAACAGGCTACATCCAAAAAGCTACGCTGTGGCTTACCGAAACACTGCCACCTATAGGACAAAGTCACTTGGTGACTGCTTGTGTCAGATTCATCCTTAGCCAGTGCTTTTAAACATAGCTAAGCACTCATTCTGCACAGCAAGTCTTCTCCATTCTGAAACTAATAATGTGAACAGTTATGTCAATTTGTGCACAGAGATCTCCCTTTAAGTACAGCACCCTCCTCTGGAAAATGGCAGCAAACAAGTTTTTGTCCATAAAACAAACCCAGCAACGAGGCAGCTATTGTACAATGCAATTCTGACCGTAATAGAGTAAAAAATCCAAGCTCTGCATGTGAATAAACCTATCTTGGCTGGGTTTACACACAGAGAGCTTGTTTATATATGTGTTTTCTTGACTAAGCAATTAGTATCCTTCCTACCAAAAGAAGGTACCCCGTTATTACATCCAGTGGTACTATTTCCAACAGTTTTGTTTCCATTTCTACAACATTTCTCCTTTGTTCTCTGAGTTCAACACGGGAACACATTCACTTTTTAAATGATTCTTTTTCACTTAAAATGACTTCTACATTAATTCAAGTGTTCACACATGGGCACAGATGATATGGACAACCAACAGTGTTCACAACTCTCATTTCAAACGTGAAAATTGCATAAGGATAAGGTGCTTATGGCAACACACATTAACCTCACAGACTTGTGCACATACAGTAGTAAATATATTGTACATGCTGATACAACTACCATTTAAATGAGATTCTTGCATAAAAATGACAGAATAAGTTTCAAGTTGCCATGCGTCTATGAGTTCTCTCTCTTAGGAACACTACTCTTGGAAAGTTTTTGAGACACCACTGCACGTACCAAATCTTCAATCAACGGTTGCTTCACTCCTACAGAACCTCAACACTGTCAAATCGATGCAGCTTCTCAATTCTAAATGTGGGTTAAGAACAGTGAGGGTACACAGAAAACAATAAAATCACTTCTGTTCACTCAAGCATACAAATCTCAAAAAGTGGGGTCTGACACATACCCCTAAGAAAAGATCAAACCTTTTCAAAAACTTCATAAATGCAGGAAAAAATCCAGTTTTCCAAATGTTACAACCTGCTTTAGCCCCCAAATAAGAGTCCAAATGCATTCAGCTGCATATGTATACAATTTTATGCACAGGACACCACTGCAACCTGTGTAGGAATAGACCATTATTGTCTGTTTGCTTACTTTTGAATTAACAAACCACTGTTCTTAACAAACATCAGAATTTTTGAGATATTTCATTACCCTACACATCGTAAAAACTCTCAACATACATTAACTGACAACTCAAGCACATACTTTTTTACATTTAAATATGTTTCCTTACAATAATTATTTATTTACATTATAATAACAAGTGTTACATAGTAGGAAGGCATCAATGGTTAGTTAATACATTAAAAGATGCATGCTCTAAAATCAAAGTTGCTCCTACATCATAACCCTCTGGTCGGTGAAATGATTCAACACTGGTTCTCACGTTTTGTAAGCAAGTTCTTGAAAGGTCCACGCTCGATTGGATTTATAAATTGTCCCGGCAGAGGAAACTGTGAAAGGTATGCAGGAATTCAGAAAGAATTCCATGCCCAACAGGGGCCAGTAGGTTTACTTGAATGTACTAAATTGGTACAATTTTTGGAAATGATACATTTGTTTCATTTTGTGGAAGGACTGGGCAGAGAAAGTAATGCCTTGATAAAGATTTCAGTGTATGAATCCATGAGATATTTGGGTTCATGTTTTGAACTTGCACAGAATAAATCAATAAATCTATTCTTTCTTAATGTGGACAATTTGGGGCTTGAATCAACTGAATCTGATGCTGTGAAATGTAAGAATATGGTAACTTTTGCAACATGACATTACAGTCATTTGCCAAAGTTTAGGATTACTCATACAAAATTCATTAACCTGAAGAAATACCAAACTTAAACCAATCAATCTTGGTAACTTATGTTTATTTTCAACGTGTAACCTTAGTATCTTGGTTAAACAGCTATTTGACCACATTTCAATGATTTGAAATGTTAACTTCTAATATTTAGTGTGCCCTCCTTTATTTCTGATTACTTTGGCTTTTTACCATGCTGCCTTACAGACAAATGTCATACAAGACTTGCTTTTGCAAAAAAAATTCATTAAAATGGGTACAGAGCACTACACTAATGTTATGCACCACAGTAAAAACATGTTAAGTAATCATTCAATGAGACAATGTAATGTAGGCCCAGTGACAGAAATACCACTAAAATTCCAGGTGATTTTAAACTTTTGCAAATGACTGAATATCAAGGGTCAGACAGGTTTTTTTTAGGGAGGGGGGAGAAGTGTTCCATTACAGAACAACTCTTTTATCCCAAAACTATCAAACTGACACATGTATGATGCCAAAATGCAACCATATCCTGCAGGAATACGATGGTCACATGTGACTTCACTTATCTGGACACATATGGACAAAAGAAACTTGAATGAATTCCCTGCTTGTATAAATCCATACTAATTTGAAATAAATCATATTTTTTCTTTATGTAACAATGATTCTAAGTTGTTTATGGAGTACTATTATTAATCTAAGATATCTAAGTGGTACTATTTATACTAATTCACTACATTTAAATAGTTTTTATAAATCATTATTGGGCAAATCCAGGCAAATTTCAACAATAAACTGGAGGGGTACTTTCAGGATTTTTTTATCATTTAAAAATATAAGGACTGCTAGTTAGAAATTTTTAATTCCTCACAAAATGAAGTCGCTATTTATTCAATCAATGCATTCCTAATTAAAATAATGATGGAAAGTGATGATTCAGATTGATACAGGCAAAAGTCTCCCTTGTGTTCTATTAATTAGACAATATCATCTAGTTTGGGGGCAGGGTATACTTGTGGGCCCATAACAAGGGAATAACGAGTGGCAGTGTTTATTTCTTGCTATTTTTCTGTTGATGATGCATATTTAATGCTGCAATTCACCAAATGCAAACCAAAGGAAAAGTACAGAAAGTAGGGTTTGGGAGAGGTTAAGTAATAGCTAAATTATGAAAAAAGTCTGGCGAAGGCATATTGTTATTTAAAATACTCAGGGTGATTAAGCTAGGATTCAATCTATTTTCAAAGGGATGGAACGATAGCCTAGGAAGGTAACAAAAACTGGTGGAACTCCTAGTTAGCAATGACACGTGTAATTGTGTATAGCGCAACTCACATCTAAACACTATTCTCATCAATGCCCACTTGAACTCAAAGTGCTTAGTGTTGACTAAAAAGATGAAAATGGTTTCCTCTTCGTCAGGCATAAAGAACTGAAGTTTGCTGAAAACACACCAGGTCTTGTGAAGTATAATATCCATCTTAGGTCTGCTTTTTATCACTAAAACACTTGTCAACTAAAAAAACATTTGTTTGCATTTCTAAAATTTGGGGGAAATGAGAAAAATAACATAAATTTAAAACACATTTGTAACTAAAAAATAATTAACTGCAGAGGACTATAAATCTGTTGGTTGATAAATAAAGGCACAAAAAATGTTTACCTCACGACATCTTGGAGACTTGCGGTTGTCTTTGTTTAATGGTCATGACTCAGTTCATGAACGAAATCAAACTATTGAGCTACAGAATTAGTACCTGTAATTGATTTACCACATCACTTATCAACCACAGACTGAGTTTTATTGAGGAATCAGTTCTACCAATGATTGCCCTCTACAGGTGTGGCCAAGTACACTCTCCGTCACTATCAGATACGAGGACTGGTACTTCTTGTTATATCAGATGCATGGTGAGACTTGTGAAAACTGTCTATGATACACCTCTGCCAGACGGTTTTATAAATAAAGGCAGGGTTTAAAATGCTATCACCACTGGAAACAGACTGTAGTTGCTGAGATACAGGCTGGGAAACTAGCATCCTCGCACATCCAATCAATGATTTGGATTTTGACTCTTGCCAAATGGTGTCATCAGGGTCACAGGCCATCGTCACGTGTTCAGTAGACCATGCTTTGCCGTCTGCCACGAATGGGACCTGTAGAATGAGGGACAGAAAAATGAAGTCAGTGAATTAGTAAGCGTCTGGATTTCATCTCAGCTACATGTATTTGGTTTGTGCTCTTAGCAATAATTTTCCTAATTTTGTGAGGAAAAATTATAGGGCTGCTTTAAGTTTTAGTATATAAGAAAAGAAGGAAAAGTCTACGCAAAAAGAATAAACTGAATAATGATCCTCAACTTGATAAAATGTTAAATACATACTCTGACTAAAATGAAGTCAAGTTCTGTTTAGCAAATTGAAGTGCAGCATGTTAATAAGAAATCTGAAAGCACAGAGCAGTCATGATTACGTAAAAACCACAGAAAGGGGAATCCCCATGCCTTAATGGCGTCTTATTAGTTCTTTGTTGCTGCTAGCGTGCTATTCCAGCATTTCCAAAGAATGCAACCTCCATCTGATCATACGAGACTGAATGGCCTCTGTGCATAATGTTGTCATACATGGAGCAGCAAATCTTTTATCTCAACCCAAGAAAACATGTTTACTATGGAGCCAAATTTCCTGACATAGCTAGATAGGGACTCTGGTGCATTTCTCTCAGATGTTGCCAGTTTGTGTTTGTATTCAGTGGAAAATTGACGGTACATGTTCCACTTGATGTGACCTTTATTGGCTCTGATAAGTAGGCAACACAGCACCCATCTATTGAGGGGTTACACTTCACTTTTTTCAGTGGTTCGTTGCAATGTTAAAGCAACAATTAACGAGTACCAGCTGCAAGGGGTGTAAAGTTCATACACAGACTTTGTCCATAATTAGTAAAAATTTGACTAAAAATTAGATTGTCACACTATTTACTGCTTGCAAGAGAGACATAATGTACATCCATGTATCTCTCCATGTACATGATGTATCTGGCTTTCATACATGTATCTCACTGGCTTTCAAGTAAGCTCCACAGCACCATCTACCATGTCTACAGTTCAATGCACAAAGTTCATTATGTCTGACCTTACCAGCTCTATATCCCACTGCAACCAATGCTATGAAGCATTCCGTTTGTAATCCATGTCACTTGAACTATTAACCTTAAAAGTCCTGAATCATTCAACATTTAGAGGATTCATGACTGTTATGGTGAAGTGGTTTTGTAAAACAACCATGCTAGTACAAGCTTTTACATTTGTAACTAATATTTTACTGAATAGTTAGTAATTTTTATCCTAAACTTTGCAGTCTGCTTCATGAAAACTTGAGCTGGTATAAAGTTCTACCTTGTTCTCTGCTACTTTCTAGCAATGCAAAAGATTTGTCTACTCTTGTGTTTGCTGAGGAACTCCATAAAAACCATGTCCATGCTTTGGCTTAGTAATGAAATGAAGCAATGACATGTAGAAACGAACCGCATCACCTGAATACATGTACACACTTGTATTACACCATGGAGCTATGGTTACACTGTGCATGCATATGATCACACATAATTCATAGTACATGTCGCACATGTAGGTCAACCTTGCTTTGGTTGAAAAGAACATGTACTTTGAAAACAAATTCAATGTAGTTCCATTAATCGCAACCGAGATTTGAGAAAGGATGAAACAGTGCTTACAATATTAAAGCATGGTTGTGGTTATGCTTACTAATTTGCAAATTGAATTATTGCAAAGACTGAAAAGAGTCTTGAGTTCACCTATGATCGGAAAACTATTTAAACATTGCGGGAGTAATGGGGAAAATTACAAGAGATGACAAGTATTTTATTAGCCACCTTAAATATTCAGAACAAGCCACACCAACACCATGATGAATATGAAATAAAGAGTGAAGTTGCATATTGAAGGTTACTGTCTCCACCCAGTTTCACTATTTAGGTTTTGATTATCATGAAATGTAATGATCGACTGGTGATGAAAAGTGGTATTTCAACTTCTGGAGAAGAATACACCAATGAGAAACTTTTGTCTGTAGTGCTCAGCTCAAAAGCAAAAGACTACAGCTCACTTTGCAACCCTTAAACCATCTCAACATGAACGATCAGCTCCTGAAATTTGAAGAGCTTCCCAGCAAGGTCTGTTGGGTGCAAGGACTACCCTTTTACTTTGTTAGTTTTTACCTCAATTAAAAATGGTTTGGAAGCCAATTTTCCTTACTGTTTTCCATGTGTTAGAGTAACCACACAAGCAAATCAGGATAAGGAATTCTTCTGTATTTTGAACAGTTCTTTAAAGAGAGGGTAAACATACCTCTGTCAAGGAGAAAAACTTCTGGAACATATACCATTTTAAGGCAGTGGCACATATATGTGAGTCGAGTCTTAATTGCTAAAAGTATGTTCTTCTGTTTGAGTCTTTATATTACATCCAAGAAATTGACATCTTCCAATTACCAGTATATGACTTGTATAAAACCCAACACCAGTCTTGGTTAAAGATATGCGAGCAGAAAAACAACTTGATAATTTGGGTGATTGCTGATTGCAAAGGTGAGAAATCCAAAACAAACAGATTTACATGTTTGGCGCATGATTTGAATCATCATGAGTAAACACGAGTGTAAAAGAAATCGCTGGTGTCAAAATAATGAGATAAAGTAAACTAACAAGCCTTGCAGAAATATTGCAAAATGAAAACACAGAGGCTGTTCTGCATTGTAAGCTAAGCTGCCAGCACTACTGCAACACTACTGGACTAAACTTTGTCAAACTTGTCTACAAATACCTAATCTAACATTCATAACTAAGGCCACACTTGAATTCTAATTCAAAACTGAGGTACAAGAAATCAGTGAGGTATGTTGGCTTATTTGTCTGTAAAACTGGACTGTATTGTGGGGAGACTTACATGTAAATGTAAAAAAAAGGCTTCAAAATCTCCCTCAACTGTGTTTTTTCTTAACCTTTTCCAACCCCTTCCCAACCCCAGGCCCTTAACCACTTGCTGCCAGGGAACCCCATTTTGGCGGCAGGCCTGGCTGAAATACTCGGTAGTCAATAATTGTTGTCTGTCAAATCAGAGTAGTCACCAGACAGTTATTCGTGTGGGTGTAAACGTCCATTAAATGAAATGATGAATTTCAGAAGAATTTTGAAAACTGAAAATCTTGAAAATCGCCAGTATGTGTGCACTGTATTTTTAAAAGCACCTGGCAGCAAGTGGTTAACCAATGTCCATTCCCACAAATTGCTTCTGGACCTAAATGGTAAACGAAACACCGATTGAGACTTCACAGAGTACTAGAATATGAAGTTATTGCTGCTCTCATAGCAATCTTATTACAGTACTAAAAAAATCAATATAAAAGCCAAAAGGGAAGGCTATGCTAAAATATTTCACTGAAATTATCAAAGATTTTTCTTCATATACCTGCCACAGTTTGGATAGGCATGCTTTGCGGTTGAATCCTTGCAATTATCTGTGCGGAATAGGTTATGGAGGAAGGGGATTAAGGGACAACAGTTGGGATGAGGTAAGGTAGGTGAGATGGGTAGAAAGATGGGTAGAAAGATGGGTAGTGCAAAGGAAACCATAGTGAGGAAGAGTAGGAAAAGCAGAGAGACAAAGAGAAATAACATGTATGTAGACAGACAAACATAAATGCAGTGACATACACGTATATGAGTGCAGACAGACAAAACGACACATATGTAGTAACGTACATGTAAACATGTGTGTAAGCAGGTAAGGTGAAAACACAGAAGAACATATACAGTAGTAAGAAAGATACACAAATGAAGGGATAGATTGGCAGAAACACAGTCATACCCAGGTGCATAAAAAACAGATAGAAATGTGTATATAGACAAGGAAGGAGAATTAGTGAGAAAAATTTAGGGAGGATTAGACAAATTGAAGTTAAAATTGAGGATTTTGGGATAGAAAGGAAAGGATATGAGGAATGGAGTTGGGAGGGGACGATGAGAAATAAGGGAGAGAAGAGAAAAACAACAGCAAAATTAAGTTAACAGTGAGAGAAATGTAACGTTAACAGATACCGTACAATGCTCAACAACATTCACAAGCAGCATGCATGGAAAAGGAAAGGAGAGAGAAGACAGATTTAAAAACCTTTTCTCCGATTTCCACGAGGCCTCACAACAAACGTAACCAGGATCTGGGAATTGGACACTAGCCGGCATGCATTTCAATCAAACCTTTTTACTGGGGCATCTGCTCCATACATATATTGTAGCCATCCACTGGCAAAATTCAAAAATCTGTTTATCTTACTACACTAGGAGGAAGTTTGGCTTGTTTACATGCATAGCATCTTTCGGAAGAGGTGCAGTAGCAACAAGTGGTACAGTGTACATAAGTACAGTATCTGCTCTCGTTCAAATCCAAGTCAAAGTGGAAAATGAACATGTATGCCAACTTTTGTGCACAGTCAAATGAAAGTTGGTTGCTAACACTGTCCACTGATCATCAGCTGATGGACAAGCAACAAAGTCAATGGCAGATAATATGTGCATTTGGCAGATTTGGGTGTTTGGTTTGGTTGAGTATAGCATGCAAAAGTGTTCTTGGCATTCCAAACAACAACTTCTGGCCTATATATGGGGTAAGCAAGCAAGCAACATATGTCAAGGTTAACAGATCTAACGACAAAACCATTGTTACCTGGTAATCAACAACTCTCGCCAGGTGTGGAGATATGATGCACATGGATAAGATTGGCATCAATTACATCACATGGGTCCAAGTTTTTATGGGAAGGGTAACTTTGCAGTACTCAGCTCTGGCTAAATTGAAAAGACCTTTGCCCATAAAACTACACTAGCATTTAAACAAAATACTACAGGGAGGTGTTTTAGGTGATTACATATGGTGTAGGTTACTACAATTTTATCATGCCAATCGTGAGAATGCAGACACATATTACTGTTGAGAAACAGACATTTCTTTTAGCCAAAATGACTTTTCTTCCATACCAAGAAGCCAAAATATTGTAAGGAACACCTCTGGTTTGTCAACACTGCCCCAAGGTTGTGGATGATTTTATAAAGGGAAAGTATCTGCAGCATGGCAGGTTTGTTTGCCCGAATAGTTACACATGAATGGACTCCGGCAGGGAATAACATGAGATGATAAATAAATCATTTTTAGTGTATTTCAGAATCATTGATGTATATTCTGTTCGACAAATAATATAGAATACCCACTGAAAAGACAGGGAAAATTTACTACTGGTAATCAAACAATGGTACTACATATGCTACAGAAAGCAAATCATATTGTAAATTTACTTCAAGAAAGACCTTAGCTTTAGCCTAAGGAGAGTCAGGAAAATGTTTATTATTAAGCGAACTTTACAATCACAATTCTGGAAGCCTCTGCACAGATAGCTGAATTGTCAATTGTGGTACAAAAAATGTGTCCATGCATGTAATGAAACCTTTGACAGTTTCTCACATTTGTGAAACCAGGGATGAGAGAGAGGCCCTGTAAGCATTACAGCTGCTGTTCCCTACAGCAAGAACATCCCAGTTCTCATCTGCAAAACAAATTTTCTCTCTTTGCCCAAGGCTGGATGCCAGAGTTCAAACCTCAGCACTTCGGTGCATATTTAAACAAAGAGAGATTTTACCAAACTGTAAATTCTCAACAGAATAAACATTTGAGATAATCAAACACTAAACCAGGTGACGGAAGGTAGGAAGGATTTATTGTTAATCACATTGTGCACCATGTGCGTCCTCTCCAAGCCAATTTCCTCTTGCTTAATCTCTCTTTTATCAGAAGTGTTTATTTTTTCTCTTTTTACATGTGACTGGCGATGAAATTAGAGATTGGGGAATCAGGAGAACAGATGGCAGGAAGATGATTCAAGATGGAATAGATATTAAAAGATTTTTAAAAAAGTGACATCCTTAGTAGACTGTGTCTGAGTTTGGTACTTTTTAATACGGCTATGGACAGCCATGACTGGGTGTTAACACATGGAAGCCAAAGACACAAAACCTGTTACAGCACACCTCTTGCTGGTTCTTTAAACTGGCTGGCTGACAAATAGTCATGAGGGGTTAACTAAAAGGCAAGTGCATGAAATTTGCATCAGTGTGAATTGGACATGTGCCAAGACACCATGTACACCAAACTTTTGACTGGTTACAGTACCCTCAAATGTCAAGAACAGTGAGTGGCAACCCAGAACTGAATCTAGGAAAAGTGAAAGTCTTCCTTGAATTGTTGAAGGTTGAATTATAACGGTTCAGTCAGAAATATCCTGAAAAGTTTCTTTTCGTATTTTACATTCTGGACCAAAGTGCATTATAAAATACATATGGACTGCAATAATTTAGTCACAAGTGCACATCTATGTCCCCCTCCCGGCCTGTGAGTGACTAGAAGAGGGTCTTATTTCCCAAGGCATAGGCCAGGGAAATAGGACCATCTTCAGGTCACTCACAGGCCTCGGAGGGGCATGGATGTCCACTTGTGACCAGATTATGCCAGTCCATATACTGTAGATACTACCACTCATGAAAAAAATGAACTTAGAGTTCGCTATCTGGCCAGCTCTGGTAATGGCCTGGTAGTCATGAACATTGACAGAGAGTCCACAACGTAATTTGTGAAAAGAACCCTTAGGTACATGTATACATGTACTTGTCTCATGTACAGCCCTAACACAATGAGGCTAGGAGTATGACTGTGTAGGCCCAACCTTTCTATCTATGGCTATGCATCAGTACCAAAGAGCATATTTTTTACATCAGAACATCAAGCCATAGCTGCTCAATACCTGGCTCCAAACACACACACACAAACATACTAGCAGGTTGGATCATTCTGGTTTTGCTTAGAGGGATTGGTGACTATCTGAAATGTAAAATGCAACCTAACTGTACTAGTACCTGAGAGGTAATGCATACACATCAGTCATTCTATGGGTTAAAAGTACATACATATACATGATGCTGGATCATTTCAACTATGGAAAACCAAATTGCCTTACTACTACTGCTCAGTAGTAAGGCCTTTACAGCTAATCCTGACAGAGCATGCATGATCATATGCATCTTATATACATTATGCTACTTGTTGTAGCATGCACGAAAATTTGCTGCCTGGAAAAAATAAAAAATGAGGGAGAAACATACTATTTCTCCCTTTCTTCATGAGGAAAGAGAAATGAAATAGGCCTGAAGTTTGCTGAAAAAATACACCAAAGACATATGAAACTAATTAGAGGCTAAACACAAATAATAAAATTTGAAGTACAATAGAAAGTATCACAATTTGAAAAAGAGAGAAAAGAAAAGACAATCTGCTTGATAAAAAAATGTGGCCACAAAAAACTTCATATCAAAATCAAAAAAATAATATGCGTATAACTATGCATAAGACAAAAAGTCTCAGGAACTACTCCACCATTTCATTGCCTAAAACTAAAAGATTGCTCTAGAAGTCATCTGAAGACACCAACTTTCTTGCCTACTGAAATGCAAATCAAAGAAGCATCTTTCCAACAGAAAATTCTTTTGCCAAATTAGAAGGGAAAGCAATGGGAAACGGTTTTCTGCAATATGTTTTCACATGTGCATGATACTCCAGCAGACTTTGCTATCATAGGCCAAGTTTTAATATCATTTACTGCACTGATATGAGCAGAAGTTGTTTTTGAATTTACGAAAACAAAACCATTAGATGCCTAAACAAAAAGCTTTGCATAACAAGTACACATGTGCATGCATTCATGCTGGTTCAAACTCACTTAAGACTTACATGTTCATTTTAAAAAAAATGGTGAATGGTAATTTTGTTTGACTTTTCAAACATTTTGGATAAAATTAAGGATAATGGGAAGTTGAAAGTTCTGGTTTACATAACCAGCTAGGAACAAGACTGCAACTACATGTAGGTGGCAGCCAGTCAGGTGCCATCTAGGTGCCAATTCGGTATCACTGAGTACCAGCAGTGCACAAGTTGGCTGTTAAGAGGGTATAAACTAGGTACAAATTGGGATCATCGGGCATGACTATAGGAACCAACTCACCTTGTCCTGACACTGCTGAGGTTCGGATTCCTGGGTCTTTGTCCAGTTTACATTCTGGGAGTTCAAATATGGATTGCTCTAAAAATGGGAAAAATATATTTTTGGAAAAAAAAGTGGAAATCTACATTAGAAGACTTAGAACAGACGGCAATGTGAAAGTTTAGGCACACATTTTGGAAAAAGGAATCTATAAAACTTAAATTACTGGTAGTCAAATTCAAGAAAATACTGCGCTGGCCTCTGATTTCAGTCAGAGGTCAGCGCAGTATTTTCTTGAATTTCTTGACAAATACTTTGAAAAACATCACTTTGGTCACTACCAGAATGTTACGTGCCACTCTCATGGTTTCTTAATCAAACATTGCTGCTCAAGATTTGAAAGTTCAGTTTAACATGAATCAACTAATTATTGTATGAATTTCATTAATTACAATTTTCTGACCACTAGGGCAGTTACACATACATGTATATGACATTTAAAATAATATCCTTTCTTTTAAAACCTGAGTTAGTTTGCATATCAGTAACTGCAAAGGCCGCAATGGGTCTTTAACAATATGGTTTGGAGAAAATGAAACTCCCAGCCAAAATGTGATGACTTTCCATTCTGTTCCATGTATGTACATCTTTCACAGAGGAATGAAGAAAGACTAAATGCATAACATGGACTCACCATCTCTGAGGTCTGTGATATGAGGTCCAAAGCAGTTGAAGAAAGGATGACGCATAGCGTCATGAGCTGATATTCTGTTCTTGCCTTGGTACTGGGAATGGAAACAGAAATAATTACCAAAAACCAGCTGTCACACATAACATGTATACAATACACACTTATCAATGTAAATTACTCGTGCATAGGAGATACACGTAGTGTGAATACATGTACCTCTTCAACCAACAGGATGCTGTCACTAGCCAAAATGCACAAATGTATCAAGTTTAATAAGTGCATCAGTGTAGCAACACTGCAGTAATGGCATCTCCTTGGATTAGTCTATGGACCTCAAGCTGGACTAAGAGAGCGCACTATTTCCTTAGCAACGGAGGCTTCTTTGTTAGTAACTGCACATAGTTGGTTCAAGAACAACTAGAAAATGCAAGTGCTGCAGTCGCATCACTACCAACAAAACAAGTACTCTCAACCAACATGGCTCTTTTCAACCAATGAGGGGATACTTCGGCTTAAGGTAGGTTGTTGATTTGATCCTAGCTGCCCTAAATCCACTTCCAGGTTCCGGAGTGCTTTAATTCTGCACTGTAGAGCCAAAGTACTGTACTATTCCCTTTTGGTATTTATAATGAGTTTATTTATTATTAGTATCCATAAGCTCAATTGTTATTTTGGCTTTTCTAATTTAAGGGGGTCTATGTTACATAGTCTTTTAGTTTTATGCATCACTTTTTAAACGTTAAAGTTTTGGAGATATCCAAAAAAGGACAGGCAGTCAAGACCTACCTGTAACAGTTTACTTAATAAGTTCTGGCCATCAGCATCCAGTCTTGGAGCATGGTTGACCAGTGGTTCACGCCGATATCTGTGGAAGTTGTAAGAGAGGAACTCCTCATTGGAGCTGATGTTAGGCCAAGTCTCATCTGTAGGTGTGCCTAGGACCTTCCATATCAAGTGGAGTTCATCCTCTACTGTGGAGCCAGGGAAAAGGGGTCTACCAGCAACCATCTCATAATAGATGCATCCAACACCCCTGAGGGAAAAAAATACAATTAGTAATCAGATGAGCCCATATGTGCACCAAAATCAACAGTCGTTGGTATGCCACGGCAAGGCAATACAACGTCATGTCTTTAACAGCTTTCCCGGAAATTGTATTGGTTGAGACTGGTACCAAACACAGAATTTCAGAGTGAGCCCACTTACTGTACACTAAAACATAAACTAGTGGCCTTTGTGACAAGAGATGTCAAAACAATCCAGGAATTAAAAAATCAGCATCATTGGAAAGTTTTATGAGTGTCCTAACAAGGCTGGAAATAAGAATTGATGAGGGCACGGCCATTTGGCCTCCGTGATCTATTCATTGGGAAGGGCAGCAAGGCAAACAAGTAGGTCACCAAGGTCAAACACTAACTTGGATGATGGGCACCAAGGACATGAGGATCAGTCTTGTCAAAGGTTGCATCCCAATCAGACGCTCTTTATATACAACGGTGTTGCACTAATCCGTTGATGAGTCGATGTCCAAAAATTGTTTGAAATCTCATAAAAAATTATGCACATAGAACATGCAAAAGCCGTGCAATGTACCACACAATTTCTTTGCCCCACACCAGTTGCCATGAAGCCCTCTGCATGTATTTCCCCAAAAGTGGAATATTTACTAACCTCATTTCAAGCTGCATATTTAAATATGTGCTACATAAAATACTGGAGATTGTCACTGCTGCCGTTGATGCACATGCGGTTTCAAAGAGTCTCGCTAATGTATATATAAATATTGATATTTCATGGGCTGCCAATCACAACGTAACGATCGGGTAGTTGCCATTTGCTATAAATTTACACACGGTTTGTAAATGTGCATGCAAACTCCGTATGCATGTATATGTACATGCAATGCACTCGGCAGCTCAAGCAGCTTGGTGCATTTCCCACATGTTTGTGTTTATCCTATTGACTCCTAGTGACACCAGACCTGTCAATGAATGACAGTATCACAGTGGGTGGGTGCGCATGCATGAAGGGTGCAAAGCTCTGGCTCTTCTCTGTGCTCCTGACCGAGATCATTGTGTGAGGTAAGGTTTTTACATAGGTATTTTCCACTTTGGATGTTCGTTGCTTTTCGAAGAGAGGCATGGTAGCCAAGGAATATGGGCATGGCGGCCTTTGTGGCCGTGAACTATAGGTGTTTTTGTAGGGCACCACGGCCATCTTCAAAAATATGGCGGCCATGGCCGTTGTGGCCATCGTTTATTTCCAGCCCTGTCCCAAAGTCAAATGGGCTCTTTTTGGCTAAAATAATGTATCCATGTTATGCCCTCTGAAATACTGCTGGATAATTCTTTGTCAGCATTTGTAATTGGAAGAGAACGGGGTGAAGAAGATAAAGTAGGAGTACCACATATCGATGGAAGTTGAATACTCTGTGCTTCCTAGGAGGACGTCTGGGGGTCGATACCAAAGGGTAACAACCTCGTTGGAAAATGTCTTACTGGGGACGGACTTTGCTCTGGCCAACCCTGCAAAGGTGACAACAGAAGCTAGTAGAATTAATATCTCTGCCAAAAAGAAATGCAATATAAGTGAATCAATCATGATGCGTTTGAAACTGAATTTTTAACTTAATTTGGAGCCTTTTATGATGAAAAATGAAATACATGTAGTGAAAGCATGGTATTAAATTTTCCACAACCAACCTAACTTTAATTTTCAATCATGATAGAAAGAAACAAGTGAAGTAATTTCAATTTTTTATATCAGGGTATATGTATATATTTGATTCATGGAATAGCGTGAATTTATTATTTTTTTCATACATCAAACTTGAGCGAGAAGTGAAGTCAGAATTTAGTATTAATTTGTAACCTTACTATCAGGATTATATTCTGGTAGCTGAAGTACATGTACACATTGCCTCACCTGTCTGACAACAGCCTTTGCCTTAGAAAAATTTTTCGTGGGGGGGGGGAGACTTTATATAATTCACTTACAATGACTGCCTAAAGACACATGCATCATGATAAGTCCACATGACATTATTACTGCCAAGATCCTTGGAAGATGAAAACCCTACAACCTGCAACCTGCCCCTTAGCAAAGTGAAATGTCAGCAGGTGTTCCCTTTGAATGCCCAATGGAAAACCTTTGCAGTATACCTGAAATATCAACGGCTGTTATTGGCTGCTTTCAAATCACTGAATTGTACGGTACTGAGGAAAGAGGTCTTTTGATTTGAAACCATGTTCAGGACAACATACCACCTAAGAAAGAGGTTTCCGAATACTCTTTCAGATAAAATGTTAACAGGGTGAGATTTGCAGGAAACTTTCAGCAAAACAATTCATAAGAGCCATAAAATAGGAAGAGGGCGACACTGAGACAATAACGTGAATAATTGAAAATTTTACCCATGAGAGAAAAAAACACCTTGAAGCAATTTCTGAGGAATAATCCAAGAGACTTTGAACTCATAGACACCTTTTCAATCACTCTAAGCAAAATTATCAGGGGAGAAAGAACAAAAACCTCAGCAGAGTTGCCATGCCAACAGAGATAGAGTATCTGGATTCTGCATGAGTTATTTAGTGTTAGTACCACCCGTCTAATTTGACAGCCTATGATAAATACCGGTGACCTTTTCCTACCACAATGGTGTTGGCAGACACAGCTGTTTTGATTGCTACAGTGTCTGACTATGGTCTGATGGTGATGGCTATTCCAAGCATGCACCAGGTACCAAGAGAATTACAAATGGGGGAAGCCATTTGTGGAAGGGGGATCACAGGATTATGGTGATTTGAAATCAAAGTACATGTACATGTATGGCCGGGAATATGCTTCCGCTCTGCTGATGGGAACAGGGTTTGGACAAGCTATGGAGACCAATATATAAGAGAAGGATTTCTACCGGTAATGCTACGAACTGAAAAGGGAATGGCAAATGTCATGGATTCTTGGTTTACTTATCATCAATATTCTAGGCCTACATAAATACTTAATTACCTAATTGAGTACTTGTGAGATTACTTTGCATAGAAGCCTGTTCATTTTTAATTTTACTTTTAGAGAGAATTTCACAAGATAATTTTTCTGCTTGTGTATCATAAGAAATCCAGAAGTGGTACAAATGTTTATTCTAAGGCTGAACTGTTCATGTAACAACACAAGATACCGGTAGTGCAAAGCATTAATGAAAACTCAAAGATTTGTATCATGGCAAGTCTTTTGAAGATGAACGCAGTATAGTGTTTAAAACTGAGTGAAGCACTTCTCCTACGTGTAAGGTTAAGTTCAAATATTAAACTGTATACATGTAGATGTTCTTACCAAAATCTGCTAGTTTAAGTTCGCCATTGTCATTGATAAGGAGATTTTGTGGTTTGAGATCTCGATGTAGCACCTGGCGTTTGTGACAGTAGTGAAGTCCTCGAAGGAGTTGAAATAAAAATAACTGCCAAGATAAACAAAATGAAGACGAATGTCAAAAAGTTAAAAATATGAGAAAAATGACAGGTCAGGTTTGAATGAATTTTGGGTTAAGGAAGCTTCTGACACAAATGAAACAAGAAGGGGTGTTTTCCTCCTATTGGAGCACAGAAAGTATAGGGTACTCGAATTACTCTTAAGAGTCATAATGTTACATACCATACCTCACAAACCTTAGCCCTGGAAACATGATACATGTACTTATCAGATTACAGCTATACATCAAACATTATAGAAATGCTTATGGTGACATAACGGGAACTGGTCCATTTATGGGTAATTCTAGAAATTAAGGGTTCCTGTTACATCTGATCTTTGTTACTTGACATGGAAATATCACCAGAATTGATTTCAAACTATCAATATTTGTTTGGCAGGTAATTTGCATTAATTCATCACTTTTGGGAATTATAGAAAATGTGTTCTGAACTTACAAAATCATATGTCAGATGTGACAGGGACACAAAAAAAGAACCCTAATTTCTGGAATTACCCTCAAATGTGTACCGGTACCTCATTAGTCTCCGTTTAATGAGTACAGCACAATAGCCACACATTTTATCTAGTGAAATGGTATCAAAATTCATGTTAATCACTAAATGTTGTATGCATGTTTATACAGCCAAGAGGCATATCTGAATTTTCTCAATAAAAATCCTTAACAATTTTGGGGAGACAATAACCACCACTTGTATCACAACACATGAACCTCATTCACCATAAAAATAGCCAGCAACTCCTGGCTATGTAGACGTACACATGAAATCAGCAAATCCTTCAAGGAATTAGCAATAGAATAGTCAGGGTATTACTCTTACATGTACCGCTACATGCAAAACACTTATCAAAAATGGGCCATCTTTTAATAATTGTCCAACACAGAAGCACAGCAGGTGGGACCACAAAATATGGGCATGGGGTTTTCAACTGGCTGTGCTTTTGGCATTAAAACCTTAGAGGGAGAAAAATAGTCCTATCCATGACAACATGTAAAACATTAGCAACATAGTTGATGCATACATCCACGTACAATGTACTGTACAAGATTCAAACCCCTGGCCTGCCATGCAAAGCAAAGCTCAGAATATCATCCACATATGCTTCAGTGGCATGAATACTGATACGTACACAGCCTTTCAACTACTGTACAAGAGAACAGGCACCTTGGCTGCTGTAGGCTGAGATATTTTATGCTACTCAATTAGCAGATACACGCCGATAATAGCATTCATGTGTATACTATTCCCTCCAGCTGCAGGGTACACACTGAGCACAATGCAAAGACAAGTCTAGGCTCATCTGTAAGGGTTGCATGTACTGTACATGTACAATATGAACATGCAGGTTTGTTTCTTGTTTCAAAGATTAAACTTGTACATACAGTATGTTGAATTATCTGTTCATGCAGCATGAAATCAATGCCCAGCAAAGTACAAAAGTGGATATGGTGGGTAGTATTTTCCATGAAAAACAGTCACTTTAATACTAATCTTCTTCAGCTTGACTTGAAATTATTTTCTCCATAGGCAGTGGTGTAGCTAGGATTTTACTCGAGGGGGCGCTTAAAAGGGGCACCAGCATATTATGGGGGGCACCAGCTTTCAGTGGTGTGTTTTTTTTGTAAACCTATTTACAAGTTTTTGTTAGCCTTGTCCTATATCCATTCATCCTTTTTTTCAGTGGGAGGGGGACACCTGGAATTTGGGGGGGGGGGAGGGGCATGCCCCCGGCCACCCCGTGGCTATGCCACTGTTCATAGGTAATTCTTCAGGAAATCTGAACAAAATTTATTGCCCTTTACTGAGTAGTTATGAATTTACTGTACTCGTAGATGTACTGTACACAATATGTGATATTTACATGTACATACACGTACAAAGGAAAGAAATGGTGCCGCTATGTACACATGTAGGCCTACATGTGTATCATTACCTTAACGTTGTTCATACTCATGATGCTTCCACAGTCATCCATGTACTGCTTGAGATCTCTTTCCTGTAGGAAATAAAAGAAAGCTTGACATCATTTGACTATATTTTACTATTTTATTGTTCATTCAATAAAGTGTACATTTTAACAGGTACCGTATTTATCCATTACAAAATCTTTTCCCTTCCCTTCAGTTTAGTATAAGGCCTACATGTGCTTGTAAAGAAAACCGATTTTGTTGGTGAGTCATAGGGTAGCAGAGCTTAATCTGTAATAATGATAGGATAACTGGCTAAAATTCTCCCCCTGTGTTTAGCATATGGAGTCAACCAGCGTAAAGGCTAGTCCACTGTTTTTGTTGACAGTGTGTTTACGCAAGATGGAGTCCTCTCATAAGAGACACCGTGATTATAGGCTTCCCGCTGAATAGGTACTGTACAACCAAGACTGCCCCTTTTTATAAGAATTAAGTCACATGTTGCAAGGTTAATTGATTGTTTCTACTGGTAGACTACTTCTGGGGCTTCAATGATTTGGTAGGTGAATCAATTGATGAGATAATGACTGTCAGACATTTTAAGACTGTTTTGGACATTTCACCTTACAAAACATGGAAATGCCCAGAAAATTATGCTTTTGATTGTTCACAAAGGATGTTGATATATAATTTACATATCAACTGCACAAAGCTCAAAATCTGCTGAAGAAAAATACACGAGATAATAAGCTGTGTAGTGTCTACCATGACATGTACAGTGGAAACAATTACTGCCAGGAGATCCATCTTTTGATGTAAACACAGAAACACTTAAGGTATCAGTAACAGTTAACATTATTCTAGAAAGTAAAATGCTTCTCAAATGGTACCAAGGCAGGTGAATAGAAAGGATTGATGGAGGGTTGCACCTGGAGCAAAGCTACTGCAAAAAGCTAAGCAGTACGTTATTTTTTACTTTTCAAAATCTGGGTACAAAAAATTTTTCAAGTGCCAATAAATCATATGTGTAACTTTCATTTTTGCATCTTCAAAGTAATATAATTTTAAAGACATACTGTATCAAAATTTCAATCACAACTCTTTTTTTCGATCTACCTGTGGTGAACATGAAGTGTCATTTCACAAATAAGTTCATCCTCTGGGCGTGTATTTAAAGAAAAAAGTCACCATTTTTGTTTGGCTTGAACATTCCACATTGCTACTTTAGGCTTTAAAATAATCAAATAGCGGTATAAATACCACATAAAGCATGCGTTATAAAACAGATGTCCATGGAAAATAACTATAATGCCCTCTGATTAAATTTTTATAAACAATATGCGAGAAAAAAGTATTTTATAAATGGCATGTTCAAACATTACATTAAAATAGCTGACCGGCAAATACACATTAACACCAAAAATATGAGCCTCCTGAAATTCACTGACCTATATCTGTCTAAACACACTTTACAAGATCAATTTTGGTGGCAATATAATTTCTGGGAGTGCCATTACTGCACTGTCTTCTGCCTGCTCTCATATATTTGAACTTCAATTTCAGCTACATGAACCTTCTTTTATTTGTGAGTCAAAATTGTACTTGCGGTTGATGGATATTGGTAATTGTTTATGCTGCCATTTGAACATCCAGGAAATGAGTTAAGATCACTTCAGTGATGTGCAAATCACATGCATCCATTTGGTCAGGAAAATATGATAACACTGTTCCATGTGAACCTATGATTTCATTTTTATTATTTGGCAATGTTTTTTGGAATTTAATCAACAGAACCAATCAGCAGAGTGGAGAGGAGAGGACTTATTTTTGGGTGGAAGTTTGCATAGTACCTGTAAATTTATGGGCACAGGTTTTAGAGATTAACTACCAAAAACAGCAGAGAAAAATTGGTGTGGTTAAGTACATGTACATGTATTTCACCTAGGGGGGAAAATTTATTTTCAGGTCATTTCTACCCCTATGCACTTTAAGATGAAAAAAAAAAGAAAAACAGATCATGACTTGAGTTTTATGGGGCTGTTTGTTTAACATTGATTCAGACCGCAATCAGTGATCCTTCATTGGTTCACTGACACCAGGCCCCACCTAGTGGATAGAGCAAACCAGCTGTGGGATCACTGATCGAGATTAAGACCCAAGTGAAACAAACAGGCCCTATGTGTTTTAAAAACACACACAGTTGGTCATCTTTGTGATTATTTAATATAAATGAGTCACTCCCTTCCTGTGAATTTTGTTTAGGTACAAAGCAGTAAAGCCAAACAAGTGTACTCAAAGAATGTACATGTACCAATGTATGTGTTTACTGGCCAAACCAAAGACAAAAGGCATCAATGTTTGAATCAATCTAAACAAAAAAAACGTACGTGCATTTCATGATTTGTTTTTGTTTTGTTTTGTTTTGTTTAGCAAGACTTTTAGTGCTTGGTGCACAGACAGCGACAGTTGATTTCCTTAGCATTCAAATGAACGTTTTTGTAAAAGTTATATATCATTCGCAATCAGATGGATCTAATCAAGGATAAATGAAATTTGCTTGTATTGGTCATAAGCAGAAAGCCTCTTCAAGGTGAACTGTGGATTTCCATTCACTTGTAAAGCAAAGATTACTAATTCAGTAAACCACAGATCAATGAGAATGCCTAAAGGTCAGGATGTTCACATGACACCTTGCTTGTGTAGAGGCACATGACCATAACAGCAACCTGTCCACCACAAAAACTGTAGGGACATGT